GCGGAGCGCTCGGTGCAGGCAACGGTTTCAAGCGACGCGGGAGCAGATGCACCACACGATGCGCGCGACTGGGGCACCAACGTACCTTCTTCATGATGCCGGCCTTGCGCTTGGAGAAGGTGATGTGTCGACGCGACTTGTCCTGGATGAACTTGATCTCAATCTTTCTTCGCTCGCGGCCGGGCTTGTCATCGTCGTCGTCGTCGTCGTCGGCAGCGGCGCGCGCACGCTTGACGCCGCGGTTCTCCATGCCCATGGTGCCATTGCCGTCGTCGTGGACGGACGGCGACGCGTTCTGGTCGTGCTCGGTGATTTCGCTGGCCATGGTGGTGAGTCGCGACAAAGATTGGTTACCCGCAGTGTTTGGGGGACGAAGGCCCTAAGCTGAGTTGGGCCGAGTGTGGGGAGTTGGCAGGCGTTCTTGCGTGGTTTGGGCAGACGCGCAAAATGTTACAGAAGGAACTGCAGACAGCTTGAGTTGGGTTAGACTCTTAGGACGCCCTCAATAGGAAAAGGAAGCGCGGCCTGTTAAAAGATCGGGGCTGGTCCCTTTGATGGCGCAGCAGGAATGCAAGGAAAAGGTGCGCGGGGGAGGAAACGCTTGGTCGCACTGTGCTCGGTGGAAGGCACTAAATTGCTCGGGGGCCCGTGCTGCGCCAGTGGCTGGGGGGTGCTGGTCGAAGGGCTTGGTGCCGGGGAGCGTGACCTGGCGCGGCAGGCCTCGCAGGAGACGGAAAAGATACTGGCAACGTACCTGTTAGACGGCCTGGGGGATCAGGTGCGGCGAGTGCTTTGTTTTGGCGCGCCGTTGGGAGCGTGCAAAAAGAGGCAGCGGTGGTCTCGTGAACCCTGAGCTTGTGGAGCTTGGCGGGCACGCAGGGACAGACGGAGTGGTGCAGGTGTGTTATAGCCCGAGAGCTGTCTGAGGAAGGAAAGGGACGAACGGTATTGGGAATGAAACGGCGGGAGTGGTCAAGTATTTCTCTCGACGGCTGCTTTGGCTGCTTTGGTGCGGGCAGGCCCTCAACTATCCACACAACTGGGGGCGGATGCGCTTGAGCGCAACCCTGGTCACAGCTCTGAGTCGGAGATCGACAATTATTGCCCTGGCCGCCAGCCTCGCTCGCCGCCGTCGCGACACGCATGAACTGGCAGATTGCAGCGCAGCGCGCCCGTCGTGCTGATACTAACTTTGACCCCTTCCCACTAGAATTTGGCCTGTCAGGTCGCTTTTGGAGATGAACAGCAGCGGCCTTTCCACATGAAAAGTCCGCCGTCCCTCTCAGGCCGAGGGCTGCGCTAGAGGCAGCTGAGCAGGCCCCGCTGTTTCGTCTCGTATTGATTGGTGGGATGCCGCCGCTAGTCCCGCTCAAGTCAGATTGACGGTCAACTGGTGAATGTCGGTTCCCACTCCTGTCCGTCTTACAGTTCACACTACCCAGGCGACAGCAGACAGTACACGCGCAGCAGACAGGCATTCCGACGAGATGCCAAACTCTGCCGCCCGCTGCTCTTGTCCATCCGCCAAACATGCACTTCATGCCACTCCAGAGCATCCCACGACGGTGGTGCTGCGTGGGTCGTGCTGGAAGCCGCGGCTGCACCAAGCCAGCACCAGGCAAGCACCTCCCTTACGCACCTTCCCCGTTTGATCTCGCTTCGCTTGCAGCGACGGTCTAGCCTGCTCCCTCGTCCCGCACGCCTGCGCTGTTGGTGGCGGCCTGCGTGAGGCAGCAGCAGCTGGGTACTCACCACCACCGCGCCTCGTGACAGCCAAATGCCGCACTGCATCTCAAGTAATTCCTGATGAATGTTCCAAACTTCTCGTCGCATCCTCACGCCGCGATCCACTCGTCTGTGGCTCACCGACGTCGCAGCGCCAAAACATCGAACCATTATGCCCGTTCGCGCCCGTGATTGGCCGCCCACCATGCTCCAACACTACTGAAACCACCCACGCATCGCCGTGGTCCAACTGCGACGCGCCTGCGCAGTGCTTCTTAATGCTCAAGGCCCCCGTGTCCCCAATGCCATGCATTTTCCGCGCGAGCGCTGCTCTTGCTACCACCTTCTCTTCTCTTCGCTACTTTCTATCTAATAATTCGCGTTGATCGCTTTGATCGACGTAGTTCACGAGAGTACGCCGGACGGCTCCGCTGCGCTCGACTTCCATTCTTTGTCCAATTCTTCTTTTCTCTCCAGTCTCTTCCGTCAAATCGCACTACCGTCAAGATGCCGACCAAACTGATGATGGCCTTTGTGGGCATGGATTTCCTCTTCGCCGGATGTGGAGGACTGTTGCTGGGCTTCTCCCTCATATCTGAGCAATCGATGCGCGCCACTCCGACCGTAGACAACGTCACACAGAACCTGCTGCTCGGCCAGTGTCCATTGACAGGTACGGCTTCCACGAATGGGCGATGAGGGTGGTGTTGAAGGAATCGATATTCTGGCACCACTGTGGCGGCGCATCGTCCCACGCATCGCCTATGAACATGCAGTCTCAAGAAACATCAACTAACACCTTATCCAGCTGGCGTCGTCAATGCCATCTTCGTTTTCGTCACATTCCTGCTGTCTCTCCCTGCACTCTTCCTTCCAACAAACCGAGGCTGGCTTCGTACTCAGGGCTGGCTAGTCGTCATCTGTGCAACATTCACACTCGGACTCGGTATCGCCATCTGGGTGGAAACTCTGCAAACCCGCACCAACCTCAGTGTACTTTGGGGCCGTGAGTCGCCGCTTATTCAGAGTCTCCTGCAGCAAAAGGTGAGTCCTCCATGACTGGCGTCAGCACTAGAAGCGCATTTTCCGCACGTCCACGCCGGTGTGCACACAAGCTGACGAGGAACAGTTTGACTGCTGCGGCTACGTGAACTCGACCACCCCTCCATTCGTCCAGGACAGCACATGCCAAAACACCCTGGTCGCCGCTCAGAAGGGAGGATGCATCGGCAAGTTCTCCTCATTCGCCAACACGTACCTGGACCGCGTTTTCACTGCCGCCTTTGGCATCGTCGGCGTGGACATGATCCTCGTACTCTGCGTTGCCATGGTCCTCAAGTACCGCATGGAGCAGGAGCGCTACAGACACATTGACGAGAAGAACGGACTTGGTGGGATATAGTCGGTTGGATGATTTGAAAATAAAAAAAGAAGGGGTTTTTGGAAGAGCCGGGAGCGAAGCCAACGAACGTACATGTCCAATCGAACGACTCTTTCTTTCCCTCCATAGTCTACAGCTGGTGATGTGGAAGTAATGACGGAGACTCAGCAGCGCTGATACTCCCTACGACTGGCTTTGTTGGTTTCATTCAGCTCTGCATCGTTTCTGCACTTAGCGTTCTTTGTGTATATAGATCAGGATACCACGCGTTAATTTAGATTCGCGACCCGCATGGAAATAGTACATGAGTCTCATCGACATCACAAGTTGACATAGTCATGACAATCCTTGGATTCTCCCATCTCCAGCCCACTCACTCACGACCTAAAACACGACCCCCAAACACACCAAATACCAAAACAGATCAAGCATCTCCAAGCCCTCACTACACCTGTCACTGTCACATTCTTCGCCCACACGCCGCGGACAAAGGCCGCTAATCCGCATTCTCATCGAGTGCAGCAGTGCATTTACTTTTACAAGGACCATCCCGCAAAGCCGCCAAACCGTTCATCGGCAAACGGCATCTAGTTCAAACGCGGAAACTGCTATCCGAAATAACAAGAACTGTTACCGAGACCAAGGATACCTGCATGCATGTGGTGGCAGAACGGGGCTAGCTGTATGTTTTACCACCGGGATTATTTCAGGTGGAGTTTGTATGGGGATGGCCCTGCGATGGGATGGGTCACGGGTTGTGGGCTTCGGCATGTAGGCTCGATATGCGCGACATTTTCGGTCGCTTTGTTAGGGCTAGAAGAGGCGCGTGGATCGGACAGGAACTGTCTACGTGTGCTCGAGGCAGATGAAATCTGGTTCCTTCGTACTATCCCAAACACTCGCGCTCTTTTGAGATGCGCGAAATCTAGAGGTCCCCCGTTCCCTTTCTTCGCTTCGCACCCTGGCCGAGGCCGTTCCCAGCTTTCCACGGTACGCAACCTGCTAGCTTGCACATGTTCCGTCAGTGGACCATCACACCGCCTCAGATAGCGAGTCAGCATTCTGCATGCGCCACAGCTCTCTCATCGTGCATGTTGAAGGGCTTGTTTCCCATGTCGCCAGGTGCATCTGCCATTCGTGAAGCGTACCCGTGCCGCCCGCCTGCCTTGCAATCCATCTGTACGAGTATCTCTGCACACGTGTTCTTAATGAGCAAGACCTGCGGGTCTCTCAGCCAAGAACCCGCCTCACGCACGCACGTACAGTAGTTAGATGAGTAAGCCGCCTCGTAGCCCCGCCATGCAATGTGACAGGAGGAGATGAATCTCTTCTTGTGGGCCGCGACCGAGCATCCTCACGGATACAGCTGCGCGCATGATTTTTCACTCCTGTCTAGACCCTTTGGCTAAGACGCTAGTTTTCGAAGGATTGCAGTAGGTGAAATTGCATGGTTTTCTCGCATTGGGTAGTGTGCGAAGACGACGGACGCGCTGCAATGGGACACGCCGGTTTGGCTTCTCCTGTAGATCGCCCCTGAAGTCCCAAGATTGTCGCGCGGAGAAGGGCGCCAAGTGCTGTGCCAATGGTTTGTGAACTTCCCCTTCACAGATGCGTTACAGAACTATAGGATCGCGCGTAGTATCGTATGACATTTTCTAATATGATCTTGAATCATCGTTACATTTCTGTATTGATAGATCATCTAATATTGATTCTCATTGATTTTCAATAAAGGTTCGTCAAGATACGCAGGGTGGTATTGTCTCTGCAGTTGAGATGATTTCCACGAGAGGTAGATTGGCACGGTATTGTTTATTGAGACTGATACCTTGTCAATGCGAGTGTCGTTGCATGATCTGAACTTGTCTGCGGAGCAACATCTTCACAGGGCCTTTCAGGCTTTCGAGTCATCGGCTAGTGATACCGCTACATCGTCCTCTTCGTCGAAGATAGACTTCTTCGGCGCGTCTTTGCTCGTGCCTTTGAAGAATCTTCTGAGGTTTGGCTGTGTGGTCTCATCTTCATCACCAAAGACGTTATAGACCTTCTTTCCGCCTATCCGCACAGCGTGCTCTAGTCGTGCGCGTAGTCTCTCTATAGAATCTTTGGCGTCCATGATGGTAAGATCCACCGCAGCGCCAGCCTCGACGATGGAGTTGCTGAGTAGCTGGAACTGCCGAGCAAGCGCATCCACCTCGTTGTTGAAATCTTTGACTTCTGATGACGCTGGTACTGGAGCCCTGACTGGAGACGAGCCGGTTTCTGACGTTGTTGGACTTGATAGGGGCTGATACGGGACGTTCAATAAGCCAGGCCCAATGGCAATGTCAAGCAATGTCAAACGTGCGGTGAGGTGCTCGTAGTCGGTGTCCTTGTCTATTCGGAAATTCGAAGACTTGTCCAGGTATTGGTGAATCATGTCAGGCAGCTTAGGGTCTGAGAGTTCTACGTCGACTGGTACTGGGTAGACTAATAACGCGAGAGCCAGGTGGCGTTGTAGGTATGCCGTTAATGGTGAAGTCGCTGGGAAAGAACAGACTAGGTTCCTTTGAAGAAGAGGATGCGTTACTTTTACAAGTAGTTGAGAGATGATATCGCTAAGCTGTGAAGAGATTAGAGCCTGGGTATCGTGTTGCAGTGAAGGACTCCCTACGGTGGAGGTCATTTTGTGATTATCAAGGTTGCATATGAGAGCTTCCATAGCGTCCTGGATGATGTGTAATATGTGAGCATCTGCAATAACTCGGTCATCCAGACACACGTGGCAAAGAATAGAGAGCGCACGCCTTCGAGCTTTCGAACGTAGCCTACCAAAGTCAGCAAAGTACCGTACATGTAGACAGTCCACCTACACTGGCGCTGCTTGTTGAAGTAGTCTGGCGGCAGAGACCAGTGACGGAGGAAGCAAGACTTTAGTTTCGGTTCGTGGTACTGAAATTGGAACTAATTCAGTCTGCGCATTGAGTTGAGTTGTTTTGGCCCCCATTGCCCCGAATAAAGCATCCAGCCTGTCGTTATCAAGCAGCGTACGGAGGTGCTTGTTGTGAGGTTCTGATTCCAAGATCTCGATGTATCTGCAGCTAAGTGCCTCATTCCGGGTTTGGGAAACTACAGTTCTTAGCGGAGACATTTTGTCAAGTTCGTGTGATACGCACTGCATTCAATCATCCAGGAAGCTAGTTCTTCGGGCAGTTGTTGCATTCGAAAGATTTGTTGTGCAAAGCCGGTCATGAAAGCCTGGTCCCTGGCGTGGGAGTCTTGACCATGTTAGCAATAGACCCAGCCTTTCGTCATTGTAACCATCCCACCTATGAAAATCGAGGCCCATCCGTGCTTGGGCAGGCTGCTGATGGGGAACTTGGGCTGCGCTTGTATTGAGTCCGAGTCATCTTGGAAGAAATGGTAGACGCTCTCCATCTGTGTAGCATTTGTTCTCTGCATGGCCTGAAGGAGGCGATGCGCTTTCTCTGGGTCGTCGTCATCATCCACAGCTTGGCCAAGTAGTTCCTCGTTGAGCGCCAGGTCAGTATCTGCGTGTTCTCCAAGGGACTGGTCCAGAAGCGCGCTGTGCTCCTTGATCTGCCGCTCTGTCTCGAGATTTTTGTGGGCCGTCTTTACAAGTACATCAAACTTGTTCTTGTTATCCTTGGCCTTCTTGGCCGGCTTCTGCAGACCATTTTCTTGGTCTTCGGACATGCGCTTAGAACGTGTGGTGGTGGTCGTGACGATGGTCTTGACTTTGGGGGTGGGTAGACCAAAGTCAAGGTCTGGTAGAGAATCATCGTCCGAGTCGAGAACCACCTGCTGGCCATTGGATGTGGTGCGCTTGCTTGCGCCCGAGTTTGCGGATGTTTGGGAGGGGTTGAAAGGCGGCGCATCGGCACTCGCAGCTCTCATCGTGGACGGCGCGCTGGACGCGGGTGTGTTTGACGAGGAAAGCGGGGTATGGGCGGCATGTGAGTTTGCGTCCGGTGCCACTCCAGACGAATTTGGCGGGTTTGACTGACGGGCAGGCGCATTGTTTGCATCTGCAGTGGGAGTGCGGTTAGCCTGGGGCAGCAATACTGGTGGGAGGCGTGTACTTCTCTGAGGCAACGTGGTTTGCGGGCTAGCAGCAGGCGGAGGGGTTCTGGAAACGGGCGAGAAGAAGTCTCGGATGCTTTTCTTTTGGGGTTTCATGGCGGAGAATAACAGAGGGGTGGTGGTGTAGACGGGTGGGGTGCCTGGTGGTGTAACGTCGTGACGCGTGAGGCGCCCAGAGGCCGGGAATAATTCCACAGTTCACAGCACGCTGTCACGTGCCAGGTCGACGAACAGCCCTGAATTGACCCGGGGCTAAGCATCTGGGCGCATTCCACCGTGGACGCCTCGCTGCCTGGCGCAGGGCGTGCAGGCGGGCTAGATTCTTTGCCATTGACGACATGCATCGGAATCCGCATTGGCCGGCATCCGAATGTCGCTGGACGGAGGTCCATTTTCACCTGCGGAAAGTAGCTCGCATCCGAGCGGTGCCGCCCTCACAGAGTGGTGACGTCTGTTTCAACGGTTTCGCATTGCTCTCGCTGCGCTGGGCAGTATCAGATCTGAGGTACAAAGGCCTGCACCGTTAGAGGTGTTATATTAAGCACATGGATGCGGCTCTAGACGCTTCATTAATCCGAGTGCCAGCTGTGAAAAGTGAGTTGTACGAAGCACGGAACTGAGGATCTCCCGGCTACGCCATGCACAGCGGAGTCGAGGGACTGAGGGCTGAGATGATGCTCCACTCGACCTGCTTAGAAGGGCTGCTGGCGGTGGCCCGCGGAAGCTCCGCTGCGATTAGTCCATGAACTGGCACTGGCAAGCCCAAGTGCTGACTGCTGACATGCTGGGGCCATGCGTTGCAGAGGATGTGTTCTCTTCCCTCTGAGGCACTGTTGCCGAGCTTTGAGATGGGGATGTGCACTGTGTCTACTGCCTCTGTGCTGGAGCGGCCAGGCCACGCGTCGCCAACGCGCGCGACAGAAATAAATGCTCCTGTGTTGGTGCGTTTAATGATCAGATCGCAGTGCGGGTCCTCCAAGAGCAACTAGGCTCGCATCTTGTTAAGACCGTAGCGGCCGGCCGAGGGAGTGCGAGGCGTGTGCTTCCCGCGCCGATGCTTCTGTAAGCACATGGCAAGCATCGCATCCATCCATTCATCACTGTCAGGGTCTGTCGAAGTACCTGCCGCTCCGCTGTTTCCCCTCGTGCTTCATCGTGTACTGACGACACTGCACCGCCTAATCAACCTTGGAGTCGCCCGTCGCATCGCCTGCCTGTCGCTCCGCCTCTGCGTGCAAGTTCGTCCGGCATCTTTTAATATCCGACTACACGGGCGCCCATCTGTTCTCACCCTCCGCGACAACAACACCACCACGCTCCCACCGCCCCTCAACACCCGCCCGGCACTACATGCACTGCACCCGTCGCCTCCCACCCGCGTCCGACACGATCGAATTGGCCTGCCGCGCCGCGTAGAGCCTTCCCGGCTCAGGCCGTCGCCGCCCTCGCACCGCCGCCGCCTCCCCGACGACAGGCACCATGACGCTGGAACCCTACATGGAGCCCAATGAGACCGAGGTGTCACATCCGCAGAAGCGCATACGTTGTGAGTGACACCACCCGCTGACCGCACAGAGTTGAGAGCACGCGCTGACGGGAGCCACGCAGGGGCAACACACCGCGCAACCGGCATCAAAGCGGCCAACAAGCGACACTCGCTCAAGGAGCGCCTGCACCGGCGCATAGGCTCTGGCGGCGAGAAGCGAGACTCGCTGGGCAAAGAAGGCGGGCCGCCGCTCGACCACGACCAGTCCCCTGAGAGTTCAGATGCAGGCGCCGACCACGAAGACTCCGGCCGGAGAGTCTACTTCAACGTGCCGCTGCCCCAAACAGAGCGCGACGAAGAAGGCCAGCCCCTCGCACACTACGCCCGCAACAAGATAAGAACCGCCAAATACACGCCCCTCAGCTTCATACCCAAGAACCTGTGGTTCCAGTTCCACAACATCGCCAACGTCTACTTCTTGTTTATCATTATCCTGGGCGTGCGTACCACCCCCTCTGGCATTTCCGACACCCCCAGACTAACGTGACCGTCTAGATTTTCTCAATCTTCGGCGCCAGTAATCCTGCGCTGAACGCAGTACCCCTCATCGTCATTCTTGTCGTAACCTCCATCAAGGACGGAGTAGAAGATTGGCGGCGAACCGTCCTCGACAATGAGCTGAACAACGCGCCCGTCCACCGACTCGTCGACTTTAACAACGTAAACACGGCCGAGGACTCGATTTCGCTATGGCGGCGGATCAAGAAGGCTACCACCAAGGGCATAATCTCAACATGGCGATTGATGAAGAACGCGAAGAACAAGAAGGGTGCAAAGGGCAAAGGCGGCGACGACAACGCTGTCGACGGCACGCGCCCCTCGCACGAGACCCGCAGAGCATCCATCGCATCGCACCGGGAATCCTACTTTGGCGGCGAGAACGACATCCAAATGACACCCGTGCCTTCACCGCTCCCAGGTCAATCCCCAGCGCAATCCCCTCCGTTGACTTCCGGGCCAGGAGAAGGAGACAAGATCCGCGGTGCAGACGCCAATCCCGGTGTGCAAAAGAAGTTCTGGGGAAGCGTCCTGAACCCAAACAAGACGGTCCCGGAAAAGGCACGTTTCAAGAAGGACGCCTGGAAGAACGTTCAGGTCGGCGACTTTGTGCGCCTCTACAACGACGAGGAGATCCCCGCCGACGTCATCGTTCTCTCCACCTCTTCCGACGACGGCGCGTGCTATGTCGAGACGAAGAACTTGGACGGTGAGACGAACCTCAAGGTGCGCAACGCACTGCACTGCACCCGAGAAGTGCGACACGCTCGACACTGCGAACGCGCCGACTTCGTCATCGAGAGTGAAGGCGCCCACTCGAACCTGTACTCGTACAGCGCAGCCATCAGATGGCAGCAGCACAATGCAAAGGACCCCGAAGCACCGCCGTACGAGATGGTCGAGCCTATCTCCATCAACAACCTCATCCTCCGTGGTTGCCAACTCCGAAACACTGAGTGGGTGCTGGGCGTTGTCGTCTTTACCGGAGAAGAGACAAAGATCATGATCAACTCTGGTATCACGCCTAGCAAGCGAGCCAGGATATCAAAAGAACTTAATTGGAACGTTGTATACAACTTTTTCATCCTGGCCGCCATGTGTCTGGTTTCTGGAATCGTGCTTGGGGTGACATGGGCCCGGGACGACACCACCCATTCCTTCTTCGAATATGGGTCCTACGGAGGTAACCCTGCTACAGACGGTGTCATTGCGTTCTGGGCTGCCGTTATTCTCTTCCAGAATTTGGTTCCCATTTCTCTTTACATCACCTTGGAAATCATTCGAACGTTGCAGGCCCTCTTCATCTACAGCGACATCCACATGTACTACGCAAAGCTCGATTACCCATGTACTCCCAAGTCTTGGAACATCTCCGACGACGTTGGTCAGGTCGAATACATCTTCTCGGACAAGACGGGAACGCTCACACAAAATGTCATGGAGTTCAAGAAGGCGACCATCAATGGTGTGCCCTATGGAGAAGCGTACACGGAGGCTCAAGCAGGTATGCAACGCAGACAGGGTATCAACGTCGAAGTGGAGGGTGCCAAAGCTCGCGAACAGATAGCACGCGACCGTGTGCGGATGCTCGAGGGGATCCGCAAGATGCACAACAACCCCTACTTGTGGGACGACGACCTGACCTTCATCGCCCCGGACTATGTAGACGACCTGCGTGGAGACTCTGGAATGGAACAGAAGAGAGCCAACGAGGAATTCATGATCGCTTTGGCTCTCTGTCATACTGTTGTTACCGAACGCACTCCAGGCGACCCACCGAAGATCGAGTTTAAAGCACAATCGCCCGACGAAGCTGCACTTGTCGCGACTGCTCGCGACTGTGGTTTCACATTCGTAGGCCGCGAAGACGACCGTCTCGTCGTCAATGTTTTGGGAGAAGAGCGCAAATACCAGGTTCTCAACACTCTGGAATTCAACTCCAGCAGGAAGCGCATGAGTGCGATCATCAGAATGCCCGACAACCGAATCGTCCTCTTCTGCAAGGGAGCCGACAGCATGATCTACTCGAGATTGATCCCCAATGAACAGCGACAGCTTCGTGCCGACACCGGTGAACACCTGGAAATGTTTGCACGAGAAGGACTCCGAACACTGTGCATCGCTCAAAGAGAGGTTTCTGAAGAGGAATATCAAGAGTGGAACCGGGATTATGACATCGCTGCCAACGCTATTCAGGGTCGTGAAGATAAGCTGGAAGAGGTCTCTGATCGCATCGAAAACCACCTGTGGCTGATCGGAGGAACTGCCATCGAAGATCGACTTCAAGACGGTGTGCCAGAGTCGATTTCTCTTCTCAGTCAAGCTGGTATCAAACTGTGGGTCCTAACGGGTGACAAAGTTGAGACAGCCATCAACATTGGGTTCTCTTGCAACCTACTCGATAACGACATGGACCTCATCATTCTCAAGGTTACCGATGACAACATCGGTTCCGTGGAAGCCCAGCTTGACGAGAAGTTGAAGATCTTCGGCTTGGAAGGCTCTGAAGAAGAGCTAGCCGCCGCTCAAAACGATCACGAACCTCCACCACCTACGCATGCCATCATCATTGACGGAGATACTCTTAAGCTGGCTCTGGATGATTCGGTAAAGAGGAAGTTCCTTCTTCTGTGTAGGCGATGCCGGTCCGTTCTCTGCTGCAGAGTCAGTCCCAGTCAGAAGGCAGCTGTCGTCAATATGGTGAAGACCGGCCTGGACTGTCTCACTCTTGCTATCGGAGACGGTGCCAACGATGTCGCTATGATTCAAG